TTTCATCAGCATTGTGTAGTTTTCAGCAGACGGTCCTATGTATGTTTTGTTAGATTTACACCTAAGTATTTTAATTTATTTGAGCAAATGTGATGGTATTATATTTTTAATTTCAGTGTCTACATATTCACTGCTAGTCTGTAGAAATAATTAATTTTTATGTTTATCTTATAACTTGCAATTTTGCTGAACTCACTTAATAGTTCTAGAAGGGTTTTTTTGTAGATTTCTTGGGGTTTTCTACATAAATAACCATGTCATGTGGAAATAGGGATTTCACTTCTTCCTTTCTGGTCTGTATGCCTTTTTCTCCCCCCTCTTTTTTTGCTTTATTGCATTGGCTAGAACTTCCAGCACTATGCTGAATAACAGTGGTGAGCAGACATCCCTGCCCTGTCCCTGATATTGGGGGAAAACACTGAGTCTTCCACAATTAAGTATAATACTAGGTGCAGGTTTTTTCATAGATGCTCTTTATTAAGTAGAGGAAGTTCCCCTCTATTCCTATTTTTTCTGACACTTTTTATCATAAGCAGGTGTTGAATTTTGTCAAATAGTTCTTCTGCATCAATTGATAAGATTGTTAGATTTTTCTTCTTTAGTCTCTTAATATGGTGAATTACATTGATTTTTGAATACTGCCAGACTTGCATCTCTGGAATAAACTCCACTTGGTCATGGTGTATAATTCTTTTTATATACTGCTGAATTTTATTTGATGATATTTTGTTAAGGATTTCTTATACTATCTTCTCTCTGCCCTGCTCCCACAAACCTCAACAATTCACTTCCAGACAGCCACCAGAATACCCCATATCAAATGCAAATTTATTTATGTCTCTACCTCAATTAAAAACTCTCAAAGCTATATTAGAAACCTAAACGAAGCCCAAATTTCTTAGCACGGCATTTAATGTCATGATTTGAACCTTCCTACCTTTCTACAAGAAAACCCTATGGGACAGTTCTACTCTGTCACATGGGGTTGCCATGAGTCAAAATCGATTCGACGGCACCTAACACCACCATGAAATTTCTACCTTCATGCCCCCTACTCACTCCACTCTCTCCTGTCCCTTAAACATCCAACTAGTTTTAGACCCTAAAAACACCTCACTCTCTCTCTCACCTCCTTGATTTTGTACATATTTCTATTGTAACAATTAGTTGTTATATTATCATTATTCCTTCACATGCTTGCCTCCTCATGCAACTGTAAGATCCGTGTATTTTCCACCTCTATATTCCTAGTCACTAGCACAGAATCTGGCACATAGTAAGTGCTCAAAAAATTCGGAGCTTCTTAAGGTTCTATTCATTTCTGTATCTACAACATTCACTACTGTAAATAGCACGCTCGTTTTTAGTTGCCGTCAAGTCAACTCTGACTCTTGTCGACTCCACGTACAACAGAACGAAATGTTGCCCGGTCCTGTACCATCTTCATGGTAGTCAGTGTGTCTGAGTCCATTGTTGTGGCTACTACAGTCCCTTCCAACCTATGGGGCTCATCTTCCAGCGCTGTATCGGACAGTGTTTTGTTGTGATCCATAGGGTTTTCATTCGCTAATTTTTGGAAACAGATCATCAGGCCTTTCTTCTTAGTCTGGAAGTTCTGCTGAAACCTAGCCACCATCATAGCAACACACAAGCCACCACAGCATGACAAACTGACAGATGGGTAGTGGCACAGCATGTAGGAGGCACACAATAAATGTCTGATTAATGAGTAACTGTAATGCCCTTCCCCTCTTGCCAAACTTCTTTTCAATTTTCCAAAATCTTGTTTATATAGTACCCCATGTGGCAGATACTGGTTAGATGATAATTAAACACCTTTTATAGTCTTCCTGGGCACACAAGTAGATTACATTTCCCAGTCTCCCTTGCAGTTAGATATAACATGACTTAATAGTCAGTTGAATGTGGGTGGATTTATTGACATCACTTTTGGGCCTAGCCCATAAAACTCACCCAAAAGAAATGGAAGCAAAGGACTCTAAGGCTCCACTGGCAACGGCTGGGGAAGACGGTATTATTATTTATAATGGTTCACTTCCCCATCCTCCAAGAGGCTAATATGGCTCTATCCATGGCTGCGGAACTTGCCTCACATCTGGTGAGGGCAATTTACCTTTCCGTCTCCCTGACTTTTGACTTAGTCATGTGACAAAGCTGTAGCCAATGGAATGAAAGTAGTAGTTTATGTTCCATCTGAGCAGAAGCTTTAAGAGGCACCATGAGTTTCTCCTGCTCTGTTGCTCGTCCCTTTGTCACAAGAACAGGCATGACCTACAGACAGGCTCTTTCTTCAGCCTGGGTTCCCCCAAACGAGAAGACACGTAGAGCTAAGCAACAGCCTGGAACAGAGTCATAGCTAAAGTGCATCCTACATGTACAATGAACAAGAAATAAACGTTTGGTACTATAAGTCACTCAATTTTTTGTTTTTTACTGCAGCAAAACTGACTAATAGTGGCACCAAAAGATAGCCTCAATCCCTAAATCATCACACAGAAAACAGCAGTCCAGAGATTCATTAAAACCAGGTATACCTGTGCTGGACTGCCACATGAATGAGAAATAAACTGTTGTTGTGCTAAGCCACCAAAACGCTGGGATTGTTTGTTACTGTAATTAGCCTATCCTGATTAATATACCTCCTCTGTGAAGCCTTTCCTGATTACCAGAATGAATCATTCTCTTCCCCATTTTACTTCTGTACTTTATGAATACTTTTATTATTATACATATCACACTATTAAATCGCATTTTTTACACACCAGCCTCCCCTACTAGTCTATGAGCTCCATGAGGGCAGAGCGTGTCCTAATCATCTTTCAGTCCCAGCACATAGCAGATACTCATTTAAAAACAGTCAGGCACCCTGACTATAACGATCAGTGGTTCATAAGCACTCACCCCAAAATACTTTAAAAATCAATGAAAATATTTCCCTCTTTCAATTACAGAGTTCCTATAACATTACTGCTTTGGGAGTTAAGGGGAATAAGGATTAATTCATTAAACGCTGCCAAACAGGAAGTGTTAAAACTGAAATGGTGCTTTGAGGTCACCACAGTCATTAACCTAAAACCACAAACTATACAGATAGTACAAAGATTTTTAAAAGACCAAACCCATTGCTGTCGATTCTGACTCACAGCAACCCTGCAGGACAGCGGAGAACTGCCCCACCCAGGGTTTGCGAGGCTGTAAATCTTTATGGAAGTAGACTGCCACATCTTTCTCCCATGGAGGGGCTGGTGGATTTAAATGCCAACCTTTCGGTTGCAGCAGAGCGCTTAACTACTGTGCCACCAGGCTCTTAGTACAAAGATTAAGAATAGCTTATTTCCTAAAACAAACACACACCCATACACATAAATCTATACCTGATTTCTCTGCTTTTCAACTTCATCCTCAGACGTGCAGTTGGATATAACCTCAGACCACTCCAGGCGCTCCTCCGGTGTCCTCACCACAAGACTATCAAACACTTCAAAGTAAAGCCACGCCAGTTCCTTAGCCAACTGCAGCTTCCCACATGCAATGTGCCTCCATGTAGACCAGTAGAGGCGTGGGTAAGCTCCCTCTGTGGCCCGGGTTCGCACATAGGCGGATATCTTCCTGAGATAATGAAGGCTGAACTTGGACGGCGGGGGTGTCTGCAAGGCGCCCACTATAAAGGGTTCTGCTTTCACCCAGAGGAGAACTCCGGACTGATCCATATTATCTCTATGGACATCTGTGTGAAAAGGCTTCTTTGCATACCTAGGAAACAAGTTTCTTCACAACTGATTTGAAACAAAACTCATTTATGTATTTCCTTGGAAGATAAGCATTCCTTTAACTTTTTAAATGCACTACATCAGTCTGAAAAGCAGCACAAGTTTGTAAATCAGGAGCAGAGGAGTTTTTTCACCAGAACTCATTACAAACTATTTGAGCAAGAAAAATTGTGTGGTGAGAGAAAATTATCTTACTTGTATTCTTAGAAATGGCAGTTTTAGAAAGACGGAATAAACGTGAGGTATGAACTGGGTCCCGGCTATCAAGGCAGGTAGAAAAGAAGGACTGGGAAAAAGATTTATCCCATCACAGGAAATCTTGCTCTAACCTGAGGGGAACATTCACAAAGTTAAATCATTTACATATAGAGGGCAGCTGGTTAAAGATTTGGAGATGTTAGCTGACCGTAATTATGAAATCTGAGAGGGTAGTGGGAACCGAAGAATTTGTAGTCAGTTGGTCAGAAGTTCAGGTGGCCTGGAAACCCCTGAACTTGTGGCTGGTACCTGAAGTCTTGGGCTGACTTGGCAGTCTGGAGGACTGTTCCCTTAACCTGTGAAATCTGACCTAACTCCACGTGGTTAGGGTCAGAAGAACTGATACTGCAGTGAGTGCCAAAACTGAACTGAAATGCATCTGCGATTGATGTTTAGATAAACCTAGCCTGCAAAAATAGATCAAAGGAAGTGAAAACATCTTTACTCTCTGTAACTATTTGCTTAGTTCAAGTGCTATACTTTTAGATTTTGTTTGTTGTTTCTCTGTTGTAACAATAATGCATGATTTTTAGTATTTTATTTTAAAAAGTGGAGATATCCACAGTCCCACCACCAAAGGACAACTAGTGAATATTCTGTAGTACTTTCTTTTTTCTACTTATAATTGGATGTTAGTTTGCTTCTACATTTTCATAGTTGTGATAATACCATATATACAATTCTGTATCACAGCATCATCAAGGCTTCATAGCATTCTAAATAAATGTACCCTAGTTTATTAAATCGGTCCCCATTTTTAGACACTTCGTAGGTTTGAAATTTTTCACAGAAACAAAATAGGCAAATTACTGATAATTTCTGAAGCTGAGGGATGGGTATGTGAGGGCTCATTTACCTATTCTACTTCTGTGTGTTCAAATTTCTGCAATAAAAAGTTTAAAATTTTCTTTATTATAAATAATGCTATTATTACCATCTTTCTGCATATTTCCTGCATATGAATTATTTCCCAGGGAAAACTTTCATATGTGCATTTGTAAGATGAAGTAACAGACGTTTCTGAAGCATACATTCCCATTGCTTTCCAAAATGATTTTATCAAATTATACCATCGTTTGACCACGGGTATCCTCTTCACTGACCATCCCTCAGCGTTAACATCATTTAAATAAATCTTTCCTTATATAAGATAAAAATGCTTTATTGCTATTGTTATATTTTGCATTTGAGTCTAAGAAAACTGTGCTTCTTTTGGGAGGTGTCTGTTCAAAAAGTAATCGATATCAGTGGAGTGCTTACTACGAGCCAGATGGCAGGCTAAACATTTTGCATACTTCACCTCCCTTCATCCTCACACCCACCTGGAGGTACATGCGATTATCCCCATTTTCAGATGAGGTAACGGGTTCAGAGAAGGGGCTTGCCAAGGTCACATACTTAGTTGGCAGAGATGTGGATTAGAATTCGGGCCTGTCAGACCTGAGAATTGTGTTGCTACAAATGTACGTAGGGAAGGCAACTATGGCATACCCCTAGAAACAGGAGTGGACCCAGAGGATTACGAGAAAGACGAGCCTTAGTCCCGAGGCCATGTAAGGGCCAGGGGCAGGAACGGGACAGTGCGCGCGCAGAAGGAAGGGCGAGGACTGCTAAATAACTGCTATTTTCGCATACGGGTAATGGTGTAGCGTCGTTCTGAGTAAAACCAGACGATGAAAGTGGCATGAGGAAGATCTCGGTGCGCCCCCAAATGGACACAGGCTGCTCTGTGAGGTACTGGGCTCCTGTCCCCAAAGAGCCAGGTCTGGAGATGCACCCTGTAAGGTCCCTTCCACCCGCGAGACTCGAGAGGACCAAATCTGTAAACAAACACAAGCTGGGCTCTTTCTCTCTTCAGACGCTCCCCCGCGACGATGGGGCATCTTAGGGTCTTTCAGGCGGGGAGGTCGGCGTGAGGCCCAAGGCAGCCCCCCTGAGGTTTCGCCCCAGCGCCCCGAGCGACAGCTGTGCTTCCGGGAAGGGAAACCCCCGCTGACAGGGTCCGGAGCGGAACCGAAGCCTGGCCGGCAGGAAGGCAGCCTCCCGACCCCAGCGTGAAGCTCCACCGGCCCATCCTTACCCCCTGGCGCCAGCCCACGCGCGGTTACCTGCAAAGGCAGGCCCCGCTCCGCCGGCCTCTTCACGCGCCGCCGCGCCCCACGTCGCGCTCGCCAGCCCACCCCTCGCCCTCTGCCGCGCGCCGCCGCCACCCACTGCGCAAGCGCGAGACCTTGCGCCACCGAGAAGGGGCGACCGTGTTGCTAGAGTGGCCGGTTACTTCTCCAGTCGCTCCGAGAAAAACGTGACTCCGGCCGCCAGTTGTCTACGCTGAGACCTGTGGCCAGACCCGGCTCCTTTCTGGTGTCTCTCTTTCAACCTGCCAAAAAAACGGAAACAAAAAACCACTGCCGTCGAGTCGATTCTGACGTTCAGTAGAACTGCCCCATAGGGTTTCGAAGGCTATAAATCTTCACAGAAGCTGACTGCCACATCTTTCTCCCCCAGAGCGGCTGGTGGGTCCAGTGGGTCCGAACCCACAACCTTTCAGTTCGCCGCTGGGCGCTTTAACCACTGCGTAACCAGGGCTCCAACTTAAGAGAGTAGGACGTTTTCTATTGCTCCACAGAAATGTAGTCGGCCTATAGCTGCTGGCAAGGTCAGCAGGCTTTGATCTGTAATAATAGTAATAATGGCACTTTACATGAGCACTTACTATGGGCGCTCTGTGAAGCACCTTCATGTGTATTAATCTTACCAAGAGTCCTTTAAGTCAAGTTCATTTGTTTGACTGATGAGGAAACTCATACCCCTGTAGTTAGGTGCCAGCGAATGGGTTGCGACTCATAGCGATCCTGTGTACAACAGAAGGAATCAGCCCGGTCCTGCGCCATCCTCACAATCATTGCTAAGCTTGAGCCCATTGTTGCAGCCACTGTGTCAATCTGTCCCCGTGAGGAGCTTCCTATTTTTTGCTGACCCTCCACTTTACCAAGCATTATGTTCTCCAGAGACTGGTCCCTCCTGATAACATGGCCAATGTGATGAAGTCTTGCTTCTGAGGGACATTCTGGCTGTACTTCTTCCAAGACAGATTTGTTTGTTCTTCTGGCAGTCCATGGTGTATATTCAATATTCTTCACCAACACCATAAATCAAAGGTGTCAATTTTTCTTCGGTCTTCCTTATTGTCCAGCTTTTGAATTGATTTAGGAAATAATATTGGAGTTATTATTCCCTCTCCTTGAGCATAGAGAATGTGACCTAGCTGGAGCCAGGTTCACAAGGACTCACAAGGACACATCAACTGGGCCCTGAGGTATAAAGACAATACCTAAGATGATCTTAGAAAATATCTTTTAGGGAAACTTTCACATAAAGCCAATCAAACAGAACACAAAAGACTTTCTACTCTTAACTTTTTCTATTAGCATTTAGTGAATAGAAGTTTGTTGGACTAACGAAGACCCTCCTGACTCTCGTTACTGAAAACTGTACCAATGATTGTTAAGAAAGACAATTCAAAACGTAGGATCACAGTTTCTAGCCAATCTGAAAAGGTGAAGCTTTCAATGGTTTTGCCCATTTGTGATGTTAATATACACTGATGGCTCTGTAATATTCTTTGGACTCGGGCAGACATGGCTGTGGCAGCATGCTTGTCCGTTTTCCCATTCTTACCTATTCTATGATATTCTTTGGACTCGGGCAGA